ACTGGACAAAAATAAAACTATTTCTTGGGGCCGGCCCCGTGGCTTGGCGGTTAAGTGCGCGTGCTCCGCTACTAGTGGCCCGGGGTTCAGATCCCGGGCGCGCACCAACTCACCGCTTCTCCGGCCATGCTGAGGCCGGGTCCCACATGCAGCAACTAGAAGGATGTGCAACTGTGATGTACAACTATCTACTGGGGGGCTTTGGGGAAAAAAAAAGGAGGAGGATTGGCAATGGATGTTGGCTCAGAGCCGGTCTTTCTCAGCAAAAAGAGGATTGGCACGGATGTTAGCTGAGGGCCGATCTTCCTCACAAAAAAATATGTATATATAGATATTAAAAAAAAAAAAAACTATTTCTTATTGTAACTCACTGAGCTCAGATCATTCCACGAAGCAGTTAGAAGACCTTCTGAAGATCTATGTTCCAAGGGTTTCCCTGGGGTCTTTCTCCCTCTCCACTATCAGCCAATCAGTCATGCAATTCCGAGGCTTTGGCCATGTTCCCCTAACTGCATGTAGGAGGACATTCCTTCTTGGTGCTATTAACCATTGCTCCAAGAAATCAGCATTTCAAGGTTAAAGAGTCTGTGAAATGCTGCATAGGATGTCAACTCTGAAAAGCTTTATATCCTTAAATCTCACCTCAGTTCCTATGAGTCACTGTGGGTGATCAGGAATCCGTCTCCTCTCTTCTTTGGCATTATTTCAGTCTCCAACATTCCCTGCAGGTCAGTGCAGGGCCTGAAAGCGCTGAGGAATGGGTGGAATCACTGAACAGCAAGGGTGGGTCTTTCAGGTGCACAGGACCAGCAGAGGGCAGGTAGGCAGCCTTGAAAGGAAGAGTCCTACAGAGAGAGGGGGACAGGTTTTTAAAATCAGAGAGGATGAGATCCCTGGAGGAGCCTTGACCCTTCTAACGGACCTTCTTAGAAGATCTTGTCCCCTGAAGTGGAAAAGAGACAAGGGGTTGGAATGTGTGATCATCTGTGTGTTACTCACCTGTCATCCACGGAATAACCTGAATCTCTCTGCCTCAACTCCCACCAACCTCCTCTGTCTACTCTTGACTCCAGTTCCTCCAAACATCATATTTTCTCACAACTTCTTACACATCCTGACTGCAGGGAGGAGGGTGGGCACATGAAGGGCCTGAAGGACTAGTGCCTGCACCTTGACCAGAAGGGGTGCCTTAATGACTGATCCTGGGTTCTCAGAGTCCTCCTGGCACCCTGGCAGAGGCACAGGCATCACAAGAAAGTATGGAACCCTCCGCACCATTCACCATGGGCTTCAGTGTCATGGTGGTTGGGAGGGAAAGGGGAAAGAGAGCAGGAGCTTTTCTGATGGCAGGGATTCAGGAAGCCCCCAAACTGTCCAAATATCTATCCTTTAAACTTTCTGTGAGCCTGTCATTTCTTACTTTTCTTCTACACTATTTTGTTTTCCCCTCTCCGTCCCTCTGTCCCCCCTGCCTCCCTTCCTACTTTAACATATGTTGGGCTGATTCAGCTCCTTGTAATCTCCATTCCTAGGTCCTCCAGAATCACAGGACTCTTCAAATACTTGTTCCTCAGCTTTCCCATAGTCATTTTAATTTTTTCATTCATTCACTCATCCATCCATCCATCTATCCATCCATCCATTTACTCAATTATTCAAACAGGATGTGTTGCACTAATATGGCGGCACACCATGCATTCTGTTATATACAGGAGACTTAGAAATGAATAAGATTTTGTCCTTTTTCTTGAGTAGCTCACAGTATAATGGGACAGACAAGTAATAAAATAAGCTTGGTCCAATGTGGTCAGTGCTGTGACGTGTGTGGGAAGTCCTCAGACCCCAGGCCAGAGTGTTTGGACATCAGTTCCCTTTTGCTTGAAGTGACTCTGAGGGAGAAGTGTGTCCAGATGTTGTCACCTGCTATCACTTGGGGCTGAGAGATGGGATGAGGTCCCTGGCATGTGAGAACAGTACTTGGACAAGTAGCAGGAGCAGAGGTGTAGATCCTTGGTTTGTCTATGGGCAGAGACCCCAGATGGCCATACCAAGAGAAGCTCAGAACCTGGGGGTCCTCACCAGGAGGAAGAGATAATGCTGGTGCTGAGGGAGAATGGAGCTGAGGGGGCACTGGAGGGATCTAAGACAATGAACAAGGGGCAGAATAATGGGCTTGTTAAGCTTTCATTTGGAGTCAGACATTCCTAAGTTTGAATTCCTGCTTCTCCAGTTAACAGCTGGTATCTGGGGGAAAGAAAAAGCCATAAAGTGATAGAGGTACAATGGACCAAAGATGTGAGGAGAAAAGTCAGAGATAGAGACAAGAAATCTATAGAATCTGCAGTGGCATGGTTTGTAAATTAAGATACATCTGAGGGCCATTGTGTCAGTATCTTAGTGACTGTGATATTTATTCTAAGAGCTCCAGGAATAGTTTGGGGAGGGAGTGATTCAAGTTGGCTGGGGTGGCTAAGGGAGATTAGCTGAGCTATGAATCATTCTTGATGGGCGTGATGATGATGAGCGTGATAATGGCGAGGCTTGTGAACACCTGAGTAGCAGTGATTGACAAAGGGTTTGGGAAATTACAATTATGTAAGCTGTGTGGTATTATTCCATTGCATTTTATTACAACATTAGAGATGCATTGCTCTCTGAAACATCACATTTAAGAATGTGAAAATCTTTTAAATCACAAATATTAATTACAATGATGATAAAGCATTATTGTTTTTTATAAACATTGATGAAAATTATGTATCTGGTTATCCTGTTACAGGAAAACCTATAGGTGTAGCCATTCCTTTGTAGGCAATCAAATAAGTAATATTCATGGGAAGAAAAGAACCCCTGGGAAGATGTTTTATCCCTGGGCTGTGGAGTGAGGAGGGACACTGGGAAGGACGTGAGGACAGAGGCCTGTTTATGCACTAACATTGTCCCTTAGTATTAACAGTTTGTCCCCTCTCCTTTCTTGACTGTTATCTTTTGATGTAGAAGCTAACAAATACTCAATGCCTTTTTTTGTCACCACCAAGCCACTATCTCAAAGCCTCAGTGTTTTGTCCACGCTGGGTGTCTTCTCTGGGTTTATTGAAGTAACACCAGTGTCCTCACCCCTAGAGGATGAGAGGCCAACTGAAGAGAAAGCCACTGTGTTTCACTCTCTGCATTTCATGTAAAATTAGGTCGCTTATAGACCCATGTGAATGTGAGTTCTGGAGAGAAGAAATATTGTCTCTCTGATTCCCTGCTGTATCCCTAGCGTCTAGAGCTGAGCACATAATAGATACTCAATAGAAATGTGTTGAGTGAATAAATGGGTCCAAGGCAAGGAATTAGTGTCACCCTGATGAGGTCTGGGGAATTCATTTTTCTCCACCGCCAGGATCTCCCTCTTAGGCTCCATTTTTAAGATGTTCTTTTATTACTTCTAGTTTCCCAAGATCTCTTTGGCGTCCTAGCCAGGAACTTTATCAGCTAAACTTGCTCCTTTTTTTCTTCACTCAGATTTGATTCAACCACAGTCATAAATGTCTGTTCTTCAAAGTGACAGTTGGAGGTATTTCTGAGCCTCCAAGTCTTTTTCTACAGCCTTTGTCAGGTGGCATGTACTCATTCTTCAAATTTGTTGAGCCCATGGTAGACCATGTCAGGTCTGCACAGAGTTGTTGGATCTGTGTGTCGACAGCACTCCTTGCGTTGGAGGCTCTGTCAGGCGACGCATAGCTCTTCCCTGGGAGCCAGGCTGTCATCCCCTTCACTGAGACTCATGTTGTTCCTGTCCGTGGCTGAGTGCTCTCTGGTGATTTCAAATCAAACATAGATTAACAGCTAAAGCTGTGGCTCCTACTTCAAGGAATTGTGTCTTGGTTTGTTGGATATGGTTGGTGTATGTCTGGTATTAAATTCCTCTTAGGGTCTTTTTGATCCCAAAATTTTAATAATTAATTTCCAAGTTTGATAAATCACTTTTTAGTTTAATGAACTTACGAGGTTATCCACAGTATTTTTTCCTCCTGCTTGCTCTACTCCGTCCCTGACATCAACGTCACTTAATATTTGCAATGTGACAGCAGCTTGAGCTCTCTGACGTTTCTCTGGCTTTCTGGCAGTAAGTGAGATGTTACTGTTGGCTCACAAGTAGGAACATTATTTCAACTTCAGGAGCATCTAAGTTTCACAATTTAGGCCCAAACATGAGACTCTTAATGAGGTTCGTGGTAGAGTAGATCAAAATTTAATAAATGTTTTCTCCTTAGATAACATCGACTTGCAATTCCAGCAATGCTTCTCATTTTCTTTTTCCTAAAATTATCAGTTCACACACTCCACTCATCTTGTCAGCTAAACACCCAGCCACATCCGTCCCCCAGACCTCATTAATTTAAATACTTCTCCCACCTTTCATCTCTCCGCCGGCATTTTCTCAGAGTCCACTGAGTTAACTTTCCTCCCTCAGGTTTACATCTCCTTCCTCCATCTTCTGTTCCTCTCTTCCTCTGCTTATTTTCTTTCTTTGCCACCTGATTCCCTGTTTCTTCATTAGGACCCAGAAACAGTCTATCAAAACAAAATAGAAGTCTCGTATCACACACTAGCAATTCCCAGATTGTATCAACACCCACTCAGGTTTCACGGGAAGAGTCAGTCCTCTCACTGAGAGTTGCAGGGGTTCAAACTAGTACAAATCTCACCCTTCTCTCAGTCTCCATTCCAACCCCAAAACTCCAAGTCCTTCTATGAGTGGAAGGGAAACTGATCTGCTGATTTTTCCCTGGTCCAGAGGCAAAGTTCTGCCCCCAGAGCTGGGTTTTGTTGGCCAAGGAACTGAGGGGAGAGACAAAGTGAAGGGACGCGTGAGCCACCAGTGTAATGAGGAAGAGAAGCTTTATTTTTCACAGGCTAAGGCACAGGCAATGCCAATCACTGCAGGTACAGGACAGGGGGTAACTGTGAGATCCTGGACATCAGACTGGAAGACTCTCTGGAAAGAGCTCCGAACCCTCCATGGAGCATCCCCAGCGCAGCCTGGGAAAGTGAGGATGGAGTATCTGGGAAAGGACGCTTCAGGCTGGGGCTTTTCCTTGGCCCTTTGGATTCTTGTTTCCTCTAAAATCCCTTGTCTCAGCATCAGGAGCCCAGGTCAGCAGCGGTCCCCAGAGCCCTGGCCACAGTCGGAGCCCCCGGACTGCTGACCACTGCCCCTGTCACAGGAGTTGGAGCTCCGTCGTCGGCATCGGTGGGACCTGTGGCGCCTGTGGTGGCTCAGGCAGCAGCTGCCCTCAGAGCTTGGAGCACAGCCGGAGGAGGCTGGAGGGGAACACTGCGCTGGGCTCTTCGGGGGGCACTTGGGTGAGGGGCACTTGGGAGGCGGCTGGCACTGCTGCTGGTGCTGCTGGGAGGACATCTTGGCAGGAGGTGAGTGAGTGTGGAAAAAACAGAAGCCCCTGTCAGTTCAGAATCCACAGTTCAATGTCTCCTGGCTCTTGGTTTCCTCCACCCCTCGCTTCTAGGACCAGCTTCTTCCTGAGTCAAGGCTGCAGGAGGGGCAGGAAACTGATGTGGAGTTAGTTTAGTCATGCAAGATGCCTCCCACTCTGGTCTCCATCCAGGACCCGGTGCTGCCAATCTAACTGGGCATCCAAGGTTTTGTATCATAAGGGAAACACATAGGGGATGCAGCATTTGGGGAAAGCTTTCTGAAGGGTGGATGTCACAGGAAACATGTGTGGACATGAAAAGAAAGAGCAGGAGAAGGAATCGTGAGTTCCTGTACCTGTTGTAGGTCCCAGAATTCCTATCGCATCCCATAGGGCCTCCTTCCTGGCCCCCACTTCTCCCTTTGCTACCCTTTCTGTGGCCCCATTTCTGGGACTTCTTTCCAGACCTCTCTGTTTCCCTCTCCTCAGCTGTGACCTTAAAGTTCCTTTCCAGCATCTCACCTAGAGTTCCTGCCCCTCAGACACTCACCAGATGCCGAGGAGGCAGGAGAGGCTGCTCCTGAGGAGGCTGTGGATGAGGAACCCAGAGCAGGAGCCCTTTTATCCTGTGCTGGTTTGTGATGCACAGCCAGGGCATGCTGCTGCTTTCACAACCAGGGGGAGGGTGACAGCCTGGTGCACCCCAGGACTGAACTTCCATTCATCGTCTTCTTGTGCACTTACCAAGACATCTGACAAGAGGGAACCAGCAAGCTCTGATGACTGCCTACCTTCGTCTCACTCAGGCCTACTGGGGGTTGCCATTCACCTTCCTTGCATCATTCATTCAGCTCACATTCCTTAACACAGGCACTGCCCAAGGGCCTTGTTGGGAACTAGGCATACATGGATTAATATGGCACTTTTCTGTTCTTGGGTACCTCAGAATCTGTCAGGAAGGAGAGATAGAAATATCAATGCACACACATTTGTAAATATACAGTTAAATATCAAGTGCTAAATGCTATAATGCAACTGTGCATAACGTCTTCAGGCTTGAGGTCATGGTCTTTGGTGTTAGCCTTCCTCCACTCTGCACATAATCCAAAGCACCCTGGCACATGCAGGTGTAATCAGTTGCCATCCTCTTGGGAATGAGGTGAGAGGATGAAGAAATGGAGGAATAGAGCTGAGACCTTGTCTGGGCTAAGTGCGGCCCCTAAGAAGATCTTATAGCACCCAGAAACCCAACCATAGGGTTCCTGGGTAAGAGGGCAGTAGAGCTGAGTTGATTTTTGATGAGTAGAAAACCTGACAATATACGAAGTTTGATTATGATCTATTTATGTAAATTGAAGAATTTCTCAGTTGAATTTACCATTTTTATACTACATTTGCTACATTTTCAAAGAAAAATAACCACCAACAACTAAAATTTAATAATCATGTTTAGATTTTCCAGGGTCAGCCCAGTGGCGTAGTGGTAAAATTTACATGCTCCACTTTGGCAGCCTGGGGTTCACGGGTTCGGATCCTGGGTGCAGACCCACACACTGCTTATCAAGCCATGCTGTGGCAGCATCACATATACAAAATAGATGAAGATGGGCACAGATGTCAGCTCAGGGCCAATCTTCCTCAGCAAAAAAAAAAAAAAAAGAAAAGCAATATACTCATTTATTTAAATGAAACACTTTTAAAAGTATGTTTCATTCTTCTATGAATATTAAAGCCTACACAATGGGCTACTTGTTTTTACAGAAAAAATTTATTTTATAAGGGAGTTTAATTTCCTTTTATATTGCTCCACTTTCCAAGTCATCACCTTTGAAACATAGGGATTTTATAAGTTCTTTATTTAGAGATATTTGTGGGGGAATGAATTGCTCTGGGTCAGAGGAAATGGTGGCCCAAGATGGTAAACCTTGAAGAGGGTGAGTGAGGCACGTACCCCTCAGTTTCGTTTTAGATTCAGTGGCCATTTTGCTAACATCGTTAGGTGTCACATCAGTGGATACTGTTCAGGAAAAGGCACTCACAGGGAAAGATAACAAGAATATTTTTCCACTACAGTGGGTGGTAAGGCTGAAGACAGAAGTAGAGGGGTGACAACATGGCCCCATATTCACCAGCTTTGCCAGTGGTGCTAGGCCTGGGAGAATGCCAGATTAGGGGAAGGGCACATCTTGATAAAATGGTCACTTCCAGGGAACTCTGGGCCTTGTGTAAAGTCCATCTGGTCTCTGGTCTGTGATTCTGGTAGGAGACACCACCCACTGTCTGTCTTCCACTGGCTTAACATTTGGCCTGAGCTCCTATCTTCCTTATTGTCCTCCATACCCACCCACTCCTGCTGGAATATCTTCTCACTTAAATCATCCATTTCTATATTTCTTTATTCAAAAAGTTTTTGTGGAGCATCAACCATGGGCCAGGCCCCATGGACAGTCCTGAGAATACAGTAGGGAAGAAGTGAGACCCCATCTCTACTCTCAGGGAGCTGACAGCCTAACACAGGGGGCAGACATCAAGGGAGAAATGACATCTGTTTCCACCGGGGACTCTCTGGTCTGTGAGGCTTGTCTAAACAAGTCTGGGGGTTCAGACCCCTGCAGAAATGTAAACATTTACTTTATATATTTTGTGGTTCTCCTGAAGCAGGGATAGAGGCCATTTGGGCCAAACGGGTGAAATCTTGAGTCACTTGGAGGCAACAGTTGAAAAGTAACCCCAATCATAGTTTTGGCAAGTTCCAAATTCAAAGCATTCAGAAACTACCAGTGGAGTGTTTTCTCTGTTCTTGAAACGGAAGTCATCTTCTGTTGGGCTTCCCTCAGCTCCATCCCTACCTTCCTGTCTTGGATGTCTCAATACCTTGTTGTTCCGGGTCTTTAATCCTGGAGAAGTAGCTGCTCTTCCCCAGACATGCAGGGAGCATGAGAGCAACTCTACAATGGTAACCACTGCCAGTCCCATCCCAAGGAGAGTAGGCATCCCATGATGCAGCGATACTAGAGGAAACACAGAGACTGGTATACATGGACGATCTTAGGAGAAGTCCTTGACTTATTAATGCTAAGTGGCATTATGGAGACAGGCATTCAGCCTCTCAGGTTTACCTCCTTGGATGCATTTTGATTAGACCATGGAGCTTATAACCCAATGATGAATCTTTTCTTCCAACCCATCAGAGTTAATTGTCAGTTCAAGATTCTCCTGTCACCAAAATCCAATGTACGTGGTAACTCTTGTCTGAGTCATACTTAGGTAAGACGAGACAAGAGAGCTGGAAAATGCCTCCTTTTTATTGTTGTTGAGATATAATTTACATACCATAAAATTCACCCTTTAAAAGTGTACAATTTGATGGTTTTTAGTATATTCCCAAAGTCGTGCAACCATCATCACTATGTAATTCCAGACCATTTTCTCACCCCAAACTGGAACTTTGCAAATCATTAGCAGTCACTCCTCATTCCTCACTGCTCCTCTGGCAACTATTAAGCTAATTTTTGCCTCTATGGATTCGCCTATTCTAGACATTTATTATAAATGGAATCATATAATATATGACCTTTTGTATTGGCTTCTTTCACTTAGCCTATTGTTTTCAAGGCTCATCCATGTTGTAGCATGTATCAGTCCTTCATTCCATGTCTTAAGTAGAAGGTTAGATTATTGATTTGAGATATTTTTTTCTTTTTTAATATAGAGGATTACAGCTATATATTTCCATCTGAGCACTCCTTTTGCCATAACCCATACATTTTGGTATGTTGTGTTTTCATTTTAATTCATTTCAAAGTATTTTCTAAGTTCCCTTGTGATTTCTTCTTTGAACCATTGGCTGTTTAAGAGTGTGTTGTTTAATTTCAATGTATTTCTGAGTTTTCCAGTTTTCCTTCTTTTATTGATTCCTAGTTTCATTCCACTGTGGTTGGAGAAGGCATTTTGTATAATTTCAATCTCTTCAAATTTAGTGATACTTCTTCTGTGAACTAAAAATGGTCTATCCTGCGGAATGTTCCGTGTGCACTTGAGAAAACTGTGTATTCTGCTGCTTGGTTGGCATGATCAACAAGATCTCTGTTAGGTCTTATTGGTTTATGGAGTTGTTCAAGTCTTCTATTTCCTTATTGATCTTCTGTTATGTTGTTCTATCCATTATTGAAAGTGGAGTATAAAAATCTTCAAATATTATTGTTGAATTGTATATTTTTCTCTTTAATTTTTTTAGTTTTTGTTTCATGTAATTTGGGGCTCTATTTTTAGGTGAATATAATGTGTGTAATAATTAGTTCTTATTGGATTGACTCTTTTATCATTATAAAATGTCCTTCTTTCTGTCTAGTGATAATTTTGTTGCAAAGTCTATTTTGTCTGGTATTAGGATAGACATTCTAGCTCTTTTCCAGTTACTGTTGCATGGTGTATGTTTTTCCACCCTTTTACTTTCAACTTATTTGTGTTTTTGAATCTAAAGTATATCTCTGGTGGATAGCATATAGTTGGGTCATGCTATTTTATCTGCTCTGCCAATCTTTGCCTTTTGATTAAAGTATTTAATCAATTTAAATTTAATGTAAGTACTATTATGATAGGATTTATGTCTACCATTTGCTATTTGTTTTCCATATATCTTATATACATATTTTTGTTCCTCAATTTCTTGATTATGACTTTCTTTTGTATTTAATAGATATTTTATAGTGTACTCTTTTATTTCCGTGGTAATTTATTGTGCTATATTTTTTGAGTTATTTTCCTAGTAGTTTCCTTGGGGATCACTATTAACATCTTAACTTAAAACAATATAATTCAGATGAGTATCAATTTAATTTCAATATTATACAAAAAATTTGTTTGTATATAGCTTCATTCCCTCCTCCTTCTGGGTGCTGTTATTGTCACACAAATCACATCTTTATACCTTATAAGGCCATCAGCACAGCTTTATAATTATCACTTTATGTAGTTTTCTGTTAAATCAGATAGTAGAAA